GGATGGAGAATGGGGGGTGGTCCCTTCTGGGGTGGGCAGCGAGCAGTGTTTCCCTTCTGCCTGGTCTGTTTTCCTCCTCCCTGGCCCTGGCATCCTTCTTCCCCTGGCAGTGACAGCCCCGGGGGGGGGTGTCTTGACATAAGTGACCCAAAAGCTCGGCCACCCCAGGAGGGGAGATGACAGGGCTGGAGTGGGCAGGCAGGGATTTATGCTGAAATAGCTTTGGTGAGACACTGGCAGGCTCTTCAGTCGATGCCACCGAGCACAGGACTGTCAGCAGCCAACTCACCCATTTATTTATTTATGTATTTATTTATTTGATTTGATTTGATTTTCAAGGGAATTCTGCAGCTTGGAGCTCAACCCATCCCTGACCTCCCGAATCTCCCCTTTGCAGCTGGTGTGAAGGGCAAAGCAGCTCTGGCCCCCTCTGGCAAGCCGAGCCAGCAGATGGCAATGCCACCCGTGCGCTGAGGTGAGTCGGTGCTCAGCGCTCCGTCGCCGTGAGCTGGGGGGGGGCTCGCTGCAGCTGGCTGAGCCAGACAGAAAATGGGTTTATTTCCAGATGCTGCAGGGAAACTCGTTTGGATTTAACGAGCAGGCAAAGAGTTTGAGGTATCTTGAGGTTTTTATTTCAATCCTACTGCACAGAAAACAATATTCACTAGCATTATCTTCCTTAACGTTTGTTTTTAATTTGACCCAATACTGTGTTAAATAGAAAATACTGATTGAACAAGAATGGACGGTGAAAAACACGAGATGCTAAAAAGTTCCCTCAAACCCTCCTCCACAGACACCCTGAATGTTACGAGTCGTTTAAAATTAGTATAAAATAGGAGGACGATCCGATAACCTGCTCTGTGCCTCCCACCCTGCTTTGCAGGGGAAGCAAGAGAAGGGGGGTCAGGGTGGGGGGGCTTCTCAATTACAGCAAATCCAGGCTCAAGGCAGGATGGCAATGTCCCCAAGAGAGCCCGTTCATATGAAGTGGCCTCAGAAAGGTCCTTCTGGCACCTCCTCGTGCCTCGGGAGCCCCTGGGATGGATTTAGGACCGAAAGCCCCCAGTGGTGAAACAGCTTCTGAGATAAACCCCCTGGGATGAAGGCTGTGGACAAAATGCCCTGGTGGTCCCTGGGCATCCTCAGCCCCTGCCAGGGGACGTTTGCCCGGTGGCTGTGGGCACGGGCTGTCCCCAGGGTGGTTCCAGGGGGAGGAGAGCCGGGCACACTGAGCTGCAGTTGTCACTGTGCCCCAGGGTGGCTCTAGGGATTCAGTCCCCTAAACTCGGTGAAAATCAAAGCCCGTGTTTGTAAAGCACTGGTTGTCCTCTGAGTGCTTCACGGGGTCCTCACATGAGCCCTGTGAGGTAGGTCGGTGTCTTCACCCCCATTTTATAGATGGGGAAACTGAGGCACAGAGAAGGGTAATGACTTTGCCAGGCAGCAAAAATGGCAGCTCCCACTCTGGGACCCCCTATCCCACTATTCCAACCCCAAACGTGCTCCACCAGCTGCTGGGTACTCACAGCTCATCCTTCTCCACCCCTCCATCTGCGGTAGGTGATGGAGCAAGGGCTCAGACCCGGGGACCTGGGAGAGGGAGCAGCAGAGATTGAGCTGTCCCTAAGACCACCCATCACCCCAAGAGGTGTCCCAACCCCAAGACTGATTTGTGGGGCCCAGGCAGAGACACCCCCAGCATTCCCATGCTAGGCACTGACCCCAGGGCTCTTTATAGGAACCTTCTGACTATGGAAGTGAAACCCCACCGGATTTTTTGCTGAGCTGGGACCCCAGCCACCACGTCAGGAGGTGAGGAGTATCTGGACGCTTTCTCTTTGGTAATTTGCTGCAAAATGGCACAGCCCTGGAGAGACGATCCCGGGGCGCCGCAGCCTTGGGGTTGGCGGGGGAACCCTAAGCTCTGCAGGAGATGGGACAGAGCCAGGAGCTCAGCTCCTTGGCACGCTGCCGGAGAAACAGGAGATGCGGGATGGTGGCCATAAATCTCCTTTGCTTGCCACGTTGCATCCAAGACTGCTGCAGCTGTGATTAATCACGAGGCCGAAGAGAAATGATGGGAAATCGATGCCTTTGGGGGCTCCTGGGGTAGGGTTGAGGGCAGTGCTGCTCTGCCACCACCTCCTGGCATGGACCCCAGGACACACCAGACCCTCCCCGCTCCAGCAGCTCTGCTGGCATGTTTGGGAGCAGTTCCAGGTGTGGTTTTCCCATTCCAGCAGCATCGGGGCTGCTCCCGATGGCTGGGCAGGCACCCCATCACCTGGTAGCTGTGGTTGGGGGTTTAAAAACCAACCATCACCAGGACCTCCCCATCACAGCTCACCTCCGAGCATCCTACAGGTGCGTCCCTTCCCTGTGGCATCCCCAGGAATGTCGGAAATCCTCCCAAAAAGTAGATTTAAATCTGAGAGTGAGCAAAAGGCTCATCATCAAATTGGGAGCAGAGAAGGCAGGCAGCCCCCTCATCCCAATCCAAGGAGGTTCCTCTCCCTGGAAGAGGAAGAAAATCCCCTGGTGTGGATGGGGTGACCCCAGGTAGGGGGATGCCAGGAGCTGGACCCCCCTCTCTGCTCCCCATCAGGTGAAGGCACGCGGGGGGCAGAGCCCGGGAGCAGGGCTGAGCTTTGGGGCTGTCGCCAGCACCTGGACCAGAGAGGAAAAATGAAGAGCCCCAGGGAGGAAATGTCCATGGGGGCTCTGAGGGCCTGTCTGGGAGGGACGTACCGGGTTGTGCACTTAATACTGGCTTAGAGAAAGGGTTTTCCAATGCTCGGGGACTCTGAGGAGCCCTGGAAGAGATTCAAGTTTCAATCTTGTGTAAGGCTTTGTTGACTCTGGACCTTCCCATCAAGAACTTGGGAGGGGGCAGTTAATGCTGATGTGACTTAGGACCATTTAGGAGCCGAGCAGGGGGTGTGGGGTGCTGACGTGCCCCACTCCCCATGGGGGGAGTCCAGGAGTTCTGCATCTCTCCCCCCACCCCAGCTCCTCCAGTACTCTAGGTGGCCCACACTCAGGACTCTGGTAGCCAAACCCAGGGTGTCACTAGCCAGGGGTGTGCAGGGGCAGGTCCCCTGCTCCCACAGGATGCTCGGGGTGAGGTGGGTGAGCGAGACCTCCCCAAGCCCTTGGTGAGTGGTCACTCCCCTATCACCCGGACCCTGACAGTTGGTCACCATGTGAGGAAACCCCTGTCTAAAAAAATAAAGAGTTCCCGAGGTTAAAAAAGAAAAATGTGTTTAAAATCAACCTCCAGGCTCTCCTGTCTGTGCGGGAAGGGCACCGGCAGCTGCTGGTCATGGGGCAAGTGGTTGGTTTGGGGCAAGCCCATGGTGCCTCCCCGCTCCCCTCCGTGTCCCCTGGTGCCGGTTGGTGCAAACGATGTCTTTAAGGCATCTACCGAGATGTTTTAGCCTCCAGCGTGCCAGGCCGGTAGAGGTACCTCCAAATGGCATAGTAGTGGATGCCAGCTCCGATGGCCACGAAGAGGTGCCAGATGGCATGGGCAAAGGGGATGCGGCCATCGCTTTTGAAGAAGACCATGCCCAGGCAGTAGGAGAGTCCACCAGCCACCAGCTCTGGGAGGCCATCTCTGTTGGGCTGGGAGCAAGCAAGGAGGCAGGTCTCAGTGGTGGCCATGGTGTGCCTGCCCCTTCCCCACCATCCAGCAGGACCCTCACCTGCCTTCTGCTACACCCTCTCCTCCATTGAGGCATAGAGAACCCAGCAGCTTTACTGGGAGGATTTCAAGCCTGGGCAGGAGGTCTGCTGGAGATGCATGTGGGTGCTGGGCACCCAAAGCACTTGCAAAACCAAGATGGGCCACATCATATTTGGGGCTGGTTTTATCCATCACACAGCCTGGACTGCACCAACCCACCAGGGACAAACCAGCCTCACTGAGATTTTTCCTTCCTGCTAAGCCCATGTGATTCCCAGAGGTGGCTTACCATGGAGAGAATGACCAAGGCAGGGAAGAAGCCCATGATAACGTAGCACACCAGCTCCACCAGCTTGTACCTGTGACCAACAGAGAAGCTCCTTGGAGGCAAGTACAGAAGGAGCGTTGAGTTTTACGCTTGTAATGTCCACTGCCATGCTATAGGAAAAGGGGTGCAGGTGCCATCACGGCAGGTTCCCATGTCCTGTGTGAATCAGGGCTAGCACCCTGCTCCGGGGGTGATGGACCCCCACTCTGGCTTGGAAGCTGCGAGCTCCAGGCCAGAGTCTTGGGGCTTCAGGGGAGACATCTGAGGCCTTTTGCTTTCTATTTGGTGCCACCATGTGGAAGAAGAAACTCATGGCAGCACCCCTTCCTCCCACATCCCTCCTCCCACATCCCTCCTCCCACCAAAGCTCGTAAAACCAGGGTGCAGATGGGGAAGAACATGGTCCAAGGAAGCTCTCCACTGCCAGTTGACCAGGAGGCTGCCCAGGGACCATGTACGTATCGAGCTATCTATCTATCTGTCTGTGTCCATCCTTCTTGCTCTCCCCTGCAGCTTGACTTCTGTCAGGGCACTAAGAGGGGCTGGCAGAGCTGAGGTGGGCTCTGTGATACCCACCAGTGCAGGGCCAGGGAGAGGCACTCACCGCTCATGGAAGAAGAAAACGTAGACCGTCCCGATGGTTGCCATGATCCAGATGATCCAGCGCATGTGGGAGGCCCAGGGACCCAACTCCCGCAGGTTCAGCCTGCAAGACCCACGTTTGTGGTGAGGCAGGTCCAGGGCAGCACCCTGGTCCAGGCTGCGAGCAGCAAGGTGCCTGGGAAATGCTGCCCTCACCCCCATGGCTGTCCCACCAAAAGGTCCTCCCAACTCGTCACTTCATCTTAAAGGGGTTGAAATGTATAGGATATGGATGTTTTGTGAAAAGGGGTAGGGTACAGCCTCGAGCAGAGCCAAAGCTGGAGAGGGAAACCCTATTTGTTGGAGCTGGGCTGATTTTCTCCCAGTGGGGCCATGCGACAGCTTCCACCCACCAGCGACTCACCAGGGAGCGTATGATGCTGCGATGAAGAAGTAGATCACCATCCTATCGAACATGTGCAAGCAGTGCTCCACAGTCCTGCAGGATGGACAGACAGACGGGTCACAGCCTGTAGTACTGGGGTCCTCCAGACCCTCTCCCCCTTCCCAAGCCCCAGGCAATCAGGGCTGGTACCTGAGATGCCTCTTTTTCCAGGAGATGGTGTGGAAGATGGTGGAGACAATGAAGAGGCTGGACAAACCAAAGCCATAGATCCAGGCTGAGATGGTTTCCCACTGGTCATCGGAGAGGATGTAGAGGACCGAGCTGCCGAGGATGCTGGGCAGGATCCAGAACTGGAAGGGAGATGCAAACCAGTTGTGGACACTCTGGGTTTCCACTGAGCAGCTACAATACAGTCTCTGCTTTTCCTTGTAGGTGTTTCCTTGGCTTCTGGTCAACGCTACCACCCATAAGGGACAGACGGGCCACCCCCACCAGCCAGCAAGGTCTCTCCCTGCTGTGGTGCAGCTCCAAAATAGCTTCTCCAGGTGGAGGTAGGGAGGAGAAGGAAGGCATGAGGAAGATGGCTACCTCTGAGTCATCTCCCAGGGCTCGGAGTGGGAGCTGCCAACTCCTGAGGGAAACCCTGATGTGGGGAGCGCTTGCTCCAGCCGCCACGTAGGCAGCCCCATGGGGCACCTGTCACCATTCCTGCTGTGAAAAACACTCCGTTTTCAGGGAGCTTTGCAAAATATTCCTGTTTCACTAAGCCCACGCCTGGCTTCCCCAGGGACACAGGACCGTGGTGGGTGAGAGAGAGGGAGATGCACAGCAGCTTCCCAGGGCTAAAGGAGGGAGAGCATCCCTGTTCCCCGGGAGCACCTGGGGCACATCTGCCTCATCACAGCCCCGAGACCCTCAGGAGCTGCTCCAGGGCTGAGTACAGACATCTTTAGGTGTTTCTTGAGGTTTCTCAGGGGATCCCCGAAGAGCTGAGCACCACCCTCCCTCTCCCTGGGACAGGGACTCACTGCGTGGGTGGCACAGTTTGCTGCGTGCTCATACTCCGTCGGCTGGTACCTGCAGTTGGATGGGACACGATGATTCATGAACCTGCAGAGAGAAGGAGGGAGAAAAACACACTCAGGGGATGGGGTTTTTGGGAGGGGTCTGCACAGGGGACACCCACCAGCCTGGAGCCCCATCTCGGCTTTGCTCCAGCTGCCCTGCAGAAGTGACCCTGCGACTGGGGACAGCTTGTCCATCTGGCTGGTCCCAAATGCCAGGACCCCAGGACTTTTTCAGCTTTGGCTCAGGGTAAAGGATTTTTCAGCAGCTGCCATCACCTGGAGAGCAAAGAGCAGGAGCCAGCTCTGCCTGCTGCTGTGGGCAGGAGAGGGCAGTGGTGGGAAGGATGAGGAGAAGCTCCTGCAGGTCTGGATCAATAAGGTCTGGAGCATCTCCTGACCTGTCCCAGCATGAGGCATGGGTGACAGTCAGTAGCACGTCCAGCTGCCAGCTCTTGTGACACCAGCACCTCTCACCATCTTCATTTCACAGGTGGAAAAACCAAGACACCACGTAATGACGTGATCTGGTTACAGCCCATCTGGCCCAGAAAAAAATGGACCAGCACAGCCCTGGCAGTGGAGAAGGTGGCTGTGGGTCTGTCACCCACCCAGTGGTGACACCCTCGTGTCACAGCAGCCTGGCTGGCTCCGACGAGGGTATCCCCACGATGCCTTTGGTTTCTGGGTACCACCCGTAGGTACCCCCTGCCCTGTGTCCCAGCACTGATTGCTGCTGGGGGAAACCCCACCATGCTCCCTTGGAAACCTGTATCTTTATTCCTCTTCCTCTTAGGCTGAGGTATCAGCTTCCTCTTGGCGTTCAGAGGAACATATCGATTTCCCCTGTGGGATCCACACACAGCAATAAAATATAGTGTCAGGCTTGGCTAGTGCCCTGCTTGGTATGTAACGCTGTATAAAGAAGCAAATTAAGTGTGCATCCGTGGTAACAGGTTGGAGCAAAGCCTTGCTCAGCATCCTCTCCTGGCAGGGGCCAGCAGCGGAGGCTTAGCGTAAAGGAAATAAGAAATGGGCAAATAGGGAGTGATCTTTCCCTGCCTGCTCCTGGAAATCAGGGGTTTAAGGACCTTTTCTGCTGTGGCTCAGGTCAGGATGGCCGAGCTGAGCGGGCTGCCCTGCAGGACCTGGGCTAATTGCTTTCTGACCCCGCTTGCTCTGGGCTCCGGCACCATCTGCAGCGCGTTTCACAGCTGAGCTGCTCCCAGAGAGGGGGTGAGGGGGGCTGGGGGGACCTTGCTGCTGGGCACAGGGTGACCCCTCAGTCCGGGGCACTGGGGAAGGCAGGAAAAAGTCCCCTCTTCCCGTCCCCAAGCCACCCATACCCATGTGGACTCCTCTGCCACCCCCTGCCTGAGTCGCTCACTACTCTCTATTAAAATTGAGCCAGGATGGGTTTAAATAGCTCAAAAATCTAGGGTTTGAGTGGGGGGGGAGTGTGGCTCCAGCAGGCACTCTC